AATCAACTATTTTGCATTTTCTTCTGTTGTATGAAGGAAAGTGCAAATTACTAAACATGAATAGGTAGAATTTGAAATTTAGATTTAGGTTTATTCCACACGAGCCCGCGGGTGCCCAAAACAGCCCAGAAAGCGTCCCTCACGCTAGAAAAATGGGTAATAGAGAGCGAATACGTTCCACTTTTTTTCCGGGCACAAATGTGCAAAAGGGCAATTTTTTAAATAACAGCTGTTGTTGTTTAAATCCAAAAGCAAATTTTATAAAACAAAAGAGTGGCAAATACCACAGAATTTTCAGAAAATGTAGTTATTTGGTAATTTTATTAGCCATATAAGATACATACACGTAAACTCAAAGTTTAGAGCTGATTTGTGTTCCTTACGCTCTGGGCACTTTTGGCACGTGTTGACACATTTTTGACACTTGTGAGAGAGTAACTTATTTTTACGCTCTAACTACCGGAGCAGCCCGGAAAGCTATTATCTTTTTTCCCCAAAACTTATGCTTATGAGCAGGGAACGGATTTTATGGAAGTTGCCTTTTTTTCTGCTAAAGAGATAGAGTATATTCGATTAAGAATGTCCACGATTTAGCTTTCCCTGATTCCATATATACACATTTGATGTTGCCTTTTTTTGCCTTTTTTAAGATGTTTGCCTTTTTTTTGCCTTTTTTAAGATATTTGCCTTTTTTTGCCTTTTCTACCTTTAGAAAAGTAATTATAGCATTTACAATTTTTTTTAAGATTAAAAAATATACACATTGCCCATGCGGCTTATAGAAGCGCAAATTGGTGTTGGAAAAATCCAAAGCCGTTTTCTCAGCTAACGAAGGCTTGGAGACTATAAGGGGTGTTGATAGAATTATAAAGGGCGAGGAAAACGCCCTTATTCCTGATAATATGAACGTTTCAAACGTTCCATATTTAAATTAGGCTCCACTTGTATCAACTTACGTCGAGCGCACATTTAGTACATTCAAGGCTTTTCTTCGCGAAAATCGAATGAAAATGCTACCAGAAAACTTCAAAATGCATCTTGTGGTTCATTGTTACTACAACTATACAGATTAAAGTTTTATGAGTTAGAAACCCGAAAAGATAAAATAGTCAAAGATTCGAAGTACAAATTTTTCATATAATGAAACTAGTTCATAGTTTTTCTCTTTTTACTTGTAATATAAATGTATTTTTTGATTGTTCTTCGTATTTTCTGTCTTTTAGGTGCCTTATTTTGCTTTTTTTGCCTTTTCCTGCCTTTTTTGCTATTTTGTTTTGCCTTTTTTTGCCTTTTTTGCAACACCTAGTGCCTTTTCCTGCCTTTTTCGCTATTTTATTTTGCCTGTTCCAGCCTATTTCGTTATTTTATTTTGCCTTTTTTATAGGTTTTTAGGTCCTAAAAATCCGTTCCCTGCTTATGAGTAATATGCGCTGAAACGTCTTCTCCTACGATTTATTCAAAGTGCATACAGACCACCTCTTATTGACAGCATCGATATTATTAGCTAAGTATTTTGAATTTACGACATCTGTGCACTCATGATGTATGCATTTCTTTATTTGATAAAATTTTGATTTGAATTAAAAGTTTTCATTTGAATATAATTGAAATGCTAGATACTTTGTTATTAAGTACGCGGTGTATACCACTAATTCAGGGAATCTAAAAATCTTTACTAGTTTCAAAACACGTGTTTCACCTTAAATACTACGTAGTGAAATTATGACGAACGTAACTGGTGTAGGTGTGAAATTGCGGAAGCATGACAATGTTTTCTTCGTTGGCAATATCAGTCGCGAAATTACTGGTTTGAAGCTTCCTTTCTATAAAAAAGTATTGTCGAGATTGTTTCACGATATACGTGAGAAAAATAAGAGCGTAAAAGAAAGTGTGTCGGCCGCTGTGGTGTAAAGGTAAGCAGTGCGCGCTTCCACTCCGCAGCATCTGGGTTCAAACCGTGTTCAAAGTAACATCGCAAAAAAATATAGAAAAAAGGTTTTTTCTTAACAGCGGTCGTCCCTCGGCAGGCAATGGCAAATCTCCTAGTGTTTTTCTGCCATGAAAAACAGCTTCTCATAAAAATACAATCGCCGTTCGGAGTCGGCGTAAAACTGTAGGTCCCTCCGCTTTGTGTGACAACATCAAGGCGCACGCCACAAGTCGGAGGAGAAGCTCGGCCAAACACTAACAAATGTGTAAGCGCCAATCTATTATTATATTATTATTAAAGGAAAGTGTGTGCACGGCAGTGAATGAAATTTTTGTATTTTGGGCGAAGGCTCGAATCCCCACCCATCTTAAAGTGAAATGTGTGCCAAAGATAGTGCAACTATATGAGAAGTGGCGTAAATTCCAAAAATCTAAGTCCAGAACGACAACAACAGAAAAAAAAGTATCGGGAGAAGTTCATAAAAAATTTAGAAGACCTGTTCGACGTAGCCGCTTCATTCATTAGAATCAATTAAAATTGTAGACGACCGACAGTTTCTAATTTCGCAAAGAAATCATGGTCGTGAAGGTTGTATGATTGGCCCTGATAGAAAACTTTCACAAAAAGAAAAAAGGAAAGAGGTAACGGATTGAGAAGAAAGATAACAGAAAGATAAGAAACCTCCAAAACCAACAAGGTAAAACAAGGAAACGTTTACATACTGCTAAGGTCACTTGCCGTTTTTGTATGCTATGACAAAACTTTAGTTTTGGGATTCGTTTTGAAGGTCTGAGTGAATGTTCCCCCTGGAAACACCTAGTTCCTCTGAATGCTAGAAAAAATATGATATTAGCGTGGAAGTAGAGGATGCAGGTATAGAGCGGCATAAAGGTGGACGTTTCTGCACGCCTCCTCCTCCTCCCAGAGGTACAAAACAATGTAGTTCATCTAGACTGGCTGCTGTTTTAGATAAGATTAAAATTATTGACAGAAAGGCTGGTTACTTACTATCCACGGCAGTAGAAGCTTTCGGCCAAGATCCCAATGAGCTAATACTTAATCGTACTTCAATCAGGAAGCAACGTGGTCAATTGCGAGAGAAAGGGTTCTTGAGTATCGAGAACACTTTCAATTTCCTGAGCCAAGCCCTTTAACAATACATGGGGATGGAAAGTAGCTTCCTTCCGTGGGCGAAAATAGATTGAACAAAGCTATCATCTGGTATGGAAGACAGGAACTTGTAAAATGTAATTTAAAAAGGGAACATGTTCGTAATGACTACAAAGAGTTTTTAGAGTTAACTGCATTGTATATGAGTGCTGCGTGTAATCTGATTGTGCGTTCCCCTGAGCGATTCATGGCGGCAAATCGATGGCTAAAGCCCTATGTTGTATGACTAGATTGAGATTATTACTGCGAGTGTATTTAAATGCATGGTTTAAGGCTTCACTTGCAATCCAAGTCCCACATCACGACTTTTAATTTTTACGATCGATGTTTGATTATATGAGCATCAATTATAAAATTAGCGAGGCAGCCGTAATAAAATTTATCGGGCACCTGTGATATCTGGCGCCTAAATTAGCTGCGTGGTTTATTTTCGGCACAGCAGTTTCAATTTCAATTAAAAATAGGATGGGTGAAAGAATACTCATGTTCAAGAAGAATCACAACAACAACACGGGTATATCCAACAAGTCGTTAGTCACCCTGCAGGAAATGTATCTAACTATAAGCTAACTTTAAGTTCATTAGGATGGAACTAAAAGTCACTATTATCTGTATGTTTTCTTTGACGAAAGTTACCTCTGCATTTGACGTAACTAACTTGTACCTAACTACTTTTGGACATAAAATATCAAGAGGAAAAACAAAATATTTTTTCATATTTGTTTACATATTCTGCTGTAGGTGGTCCCATATTCGAACTCCGTCAGACATAACTTCAAAATAATAATATGAAATTTCGATTTTCCTTTTATTTGTCCTCAATTCGAAAAAGTATTTGCGAAGTGCAGGATATTTAAATAGAAACGCGTTTAAAGAAAACTATTTCCTGCATTACTCCTACATTACTTGTCAGCTAGTTTCAACTTAGCTTTTTGTAGCTTACTACAAGTTATATATTTTATAGAAATCCCGAAAAAAAACTAACTACAAGTGGGTTATATTTCATCAATTGATATTTTTTTTGCAACGCATTAATTCATTAAACGCGATAGCAAAAGAGGAAATTTAGAGGAACCAAATTTTGGAGGATATGTTCAAAAACCCATAATAAAAAGTTTCTACCTCTATAAAGGGGTGTCTGTACGACCTGAAACATATATGTAACACTCGTGAATCGTGTTATGTAATAGAAATTTTAATAACAACAATATTACTCCACGAAATTTAAGCGTTACATATATGTAACACTAGCGTTTAAATAGTTAACAGAGAGAATTCCCAAACTCACACAAATCGATATTTGTTGGTGCAACTACAAAGACATAGTAGCTATCGATAGAATTCTAGTTCACAACTAGGTCCCTGTAGGGTCCCTAACATGTGTGTCTTTTGGCGTTTTCGTTTCTACATAAAATGTTGCCTTCTCATCGCCCTCTTCTTAGTGTTTATGCGTAGAGGGCAAAGAGAAGGTTACATTTTTCTGTAGAAAAGAAATCGGCATTTGTTAAACGTTTTACTATTAAACTATTTATTTTTGAAAAAAAGATACTGTACGTCCTTTTCTAATTTAGATCGCAAGCTCTATCAATTTATGTACATATAATAAGTTGAAACTTAATCCATTAAAACAAAATAAAATGCAAAATACCTATATACTATGTAGTTGATTTTTCGAAAACGGGAGACTTTAACGACTGCGCGGCCCGCTTTAATGTGTACCAAATGAGTTGCAATTTTTTGTGGTTATGTCTTAGATCAAAAGGAAAAAATATAGTGGCGTAACCAAAAAGAATGTTGAAAAAATGGTTCCCTTATACTCAACGGCCACCCTAATGTACATACATGTTTATATTATTTGAGCCTTTTCTTATTCTTGCATACGTCATTCCAACTGCAATAGATCACGATGGTAAATCGCAAAAACGACGGGTTCTACCCAAGAAGAAGGCAATAACGACAAGTTTCTTTGATATCAGTAAAAAAGAGGACCAAAGTGAGTATTTACACTGTGAAAAGAGTTAGCTAAATATATTTCTATCAACATAATGTTGGGTAACTAAAATCAAATAATGTAACTATAACCAAATCAAGTGTTAAGAGAAACATATTTATATGACGTAACTAAACTCTTTCCGCAGTGTACTTTTACATTTTGCTCTACTGTTTTATCCTTTGATTTGCAATAAAAACAGGTGGTGGTAGTGGTATATTCGGCAACTCTTTGGAATGTTGCTTGGTTAATGATAAGAAACGTGATAGTAATTTGAAGGCATCATCGGAACGCGGCTCTAGAAACTCTATAGCAGCACTTTTTCGCAGCGGTTGTGGCAGTGAATCTTCAAGCAAGCTGAATGAAAATGTAAGTAACAGTATAGTTGCAAATAATATAGTATTGTCTTTGGAACTTATATATATTAAGGTGCGTTCCTATGAAAGCCTGCCATCGAGTACTAGTTTTCTGGTGTCCCCACATAGAGGTGATAACCGCTCTGATAGCGGACGCGGTAAATCGAGTTCGGCTTACTTTGGCCCTCTCTCAAAGTCTACATCGATGCAAATGTCACAAAGTCAATCAGATATAAGGCGTCGAAGTCAAGACTTTGATTTACATGGTTTCAAGCTGCAAGATTCTACTGATTTTAAGGACCTACATGAAACAAACAACAATTCATTGCAAGTACCTTCATTCATAACGTCGTGTATAAGATATCTCGAAGAGCACGGTTTGAACAAGGTTGGATTATTTCGCGTGAGCACTTCCAAGAAGCGTGTTAAACAGGTAATTATAGTTTTTGGACACCCGAGCGCACTTTTGCAAAAGGGTATTATAACTTTGTTCTCATAACGGTTGTTTGCAACAGCCTAAAGGAATCGAGATAGATATAGACATACACATATATACCAATTACGCAGATTGAAAGGAGAAGCCGATTTAGCAATGTATGTCCGTCGGTCCATGTACACGATAACTCAAACAAAAATTTAGATATCTCAACGAAATTCGGTATAAAGGTTGCCCTTCATTCAAGGTAGGTTGGTATTAAAACGGGCGAAATCGGACAACGCTAACTACGCCCACCAACGGTATTTTTGAAAAAGGCAAACAATACGATATTTTCGTAAATACTGTATCCAAATTGTTGAAAGTTGGAAAGTGAAATAGAATTTCGGCTTAAAATAAGACAATTATCGGGCATGTGCTACAATTCGGTTTCTCCGAGAACGTGCTGACATGTGCTCAGTTTCACTTTTCCGTTTTCGTTTTTGAACATCAAATCGCAAAGATCTGGCATGTGCCAGAAATCAAAATCGGCATATTTTTTCCATTTTGAAAACGCGAAGCAACGGCTTTGAGAAATTAATAGAAAATTGCATAAAACAACAGAAATGTAAGTATGCATCCATGTATAAGAACATGGGGTGCAATACGCGGATATATACTAGTGTTTAATAAAACTTAAAGTGTTTGCATAAAATTGTTTGCAATTTGTTCCTGATATTTGTCGCTATAGTTTGAAGACTGACCACCAGGCTCATCATCGATTACTTCTTCAGCAAATACGTATCATCATCATTATGAAATCGACATATGTTATGAAAAGCACAGCATACATTAATAATTTTAACAACTTTCTGAGGGGTATATGGCAAAACGGTTTGCAAATATTTAAAACAACTTTTAAGCACTCCAATTTGTCTTTCAACTATGTTACGGGCCTGAGCATGTTGCAAATTAAATCTATGTTGCGATGTTCCAGCAGTTGGATTGCGATAGGATGTGAGCAAAAATTGTTCTAATGCATAGCCAGAGTCCCCAAGCAGCCAGGAGCTATGATCACCGCTTTCATAACTAGATAACAAAGACCGCTTTATACTGGATAAATTAAAAACAAAAGAATCATGGCTTGCTCCCGTATGGGACGCATCCCCAGCTTGTAGAACCATTTTATAATCACATACCTGCAAACATTCCAATGTTAATTTTGTATATAATTATTTAACTTACTCAGGGTATTGACGCTAAAATAACCTTTTCTATTTAAATGCAAATCTTCGTTGTCGCGGGGTTTTAGTAATTTGATGTGCGTCCCGTCGGCGCAGTCATTCACTCCAGGAATCGCAAATTTGTTTAAAAAATGTAACTTAGACTGGCGATCTTCATATTGCGTCATCCACTGTGGAGACTGCGTCCGTTCTAAAATATTTAACATCTCTTTTAAAATTTTTGACACTGTCGTCCTATCAAGTGCAATATAAGAACCCTTTTCGATGGATCGTTGGAACCCCCCTTCCACGAGACATCTCAACGTGGCTGCTAATTTCAGCCCAACAGGTATGGACGACGGCTTTATCAAAGACCTAGTATCGTAAATAACATTTTGGAAAAGCTTCTCTTTTTATCCTGTGGTGCGAAACAAAGCTACAAAGAGATGTCGTACGTTAATGTTGGGGAGACAGCTATGTATACACACTTACACAGATATCCAAAGTATTGTAGTGGTCTCTCAGAAGACGTTCCTCAACTCTCTCCTGACTCTTCCAGTTGGTTTGATGTTTTAAATAAGCAGAAAACGCTCAATTTAACGCAAATCTTCAATTCAAAATGAAATACAAGTGTCTGTTGTCTGACAATCACACCTCAAATTAATTCGTGCAATTTGCAATTTCGGTTTCGGAATGAAATCGCGTGATTTCCAGCACATGCCCGTACGAAATATTTTGAAAATGAGTGTGGCCCGGCTCACTTAAAAATAAATACTGTTTCTCAGTAGCCGCTTAACCCACCCCCACCAAACTCGGTATGAACATTACTTAGGGCCAAATTCACAGTGCGTAGTTAACTCAGAATCGGCAGTTAACTACAGATTTTTGTACTGAAAAACTTTAGTTAACTGTCGATTCCGAGTTAACTACGCACTGTGAATTTGGCCCTTAGAGTCTCACTACGAAATCTGATGAAAATTTTTGGAATCGGATAATAACCACGCATACCTCCCATATAACGGAAATTTACAGAAATACGAAAACTGCGATAAATCAGTAATTATTAAAGCTAACTAACTCGAAATCTATCAGGCTAACCTAATATTCGCGGCTTGCGTTTTGGTACGCATGCCGTCGAATTTGTTTTTTTGCGTCACCCGAAATTGACTTCCATGCGTTTGCATTTGATTTCATTGAGCGAAACGTCAAATCAAAATGTCACGCAGAACAAAAATTGGAAATTGAGTTAGCTTCATACGCACGCCGTTCAAATTCGGTTGATCTCATACAAGTTGCATGTGCATGAGAAATTTTTGACAATAAATTGGCGGCGTGCGTGAATATTAGGTTAGCCTGTATGTTTGGGATCAGTGATGGGCAAAATTGTATTTACTAAGTATTAAATACTAAGTACAAAAGAATTTAGGTATTTTGTGTTGTTGTAAATACCAAAGTACTATTTACTTAGGTATTTAGGAGCTGCTAAATACCCAAGTAAAAAATATTTAGGTATTTAGGAGCTATTAGATATTAAAGTAAGAAAAACTTGAGTATTTAGGAGCTGCTAGATACCGAAGTACAAAAGACGAAAGTATTTAGTAGGCGCTAAATTCTCTGGTCCAAAGTAGTCATGTACCTTGGGGATGCAAAATACTTTCACTGAAGTACCAAGGTATTTAGTCGATGGGTAAATACTTTCATACTAAATACTGTATAATTTAGGAGAAATTTAGAGAATTAACACCTCACCTTACACTCACCTCAACTTACTTTACCACAACTCAATTCATCTCTCCTCAAACCAACTCACCAAATACAAACTCACCACACCTCCCCTAAACTCACCACACCTTCTATTTCTACACCAAAATCCTACAAATCTTAACTCACCATAGTTGAACTCATCACACCCGTTCTCACCACACCTCACCTAAACTCACCACACCTCAATTTGAGAACTGTTTCGGGATTTGAGAGATTCTTCAGACTAAATCAGGATTTTCAAGACTATTTCGGGGGTTTCGGGACTATTTTGGGATTTTCGAACCTATTTTGTAATTCTTTAGGGATTTAGGGTTTGAGATTTTCGGGACTCTCGGAACTAATATCGGGATTTTCGAGACGACTTTCACAATATTTAGGGACTTTGGGAACTAGTTTTGAGACTTTCGGGATTCTCGAAATTAATAGCGGGATTTTCGGGAGAATTTCGAGATTCTCGGGATTTTTGGGACTCCTGGACTATTTTTGGATTTTTAGGACTAATTTCAAGTTTTTGGGACTTTCGGGACAGTTTCGGGATTTTTGGGACTTTCAAGATTCTCGGAACTAATATCGGGATTTTCGGGACTTTTGGCAGTATTTTGCAGTTCTCGGGAGTAATTCCGAAATTTTTGGGACTCAGGAACTATTTTTCCATTTTTGGGACTTATATCGGCCTTTGGGGACTATTTCCAGATTTTTGGGGATTATTTCGGATTTATGGGGTTTTCGGGATTCTCGGGAATAATTTCGGGACTGTTGGGACCTTCGGGGCTATTTAGGGATTTTTGGGACTAATTTCGGATTTTTGGGACTCTCGGGACTATTTCGGTATTATCGGGCGTAATTTAGGTATTTTTGGAACTTTCGGGACTTTTTCCAGATTTTTGGGACTAATTTAGGATTTTTGGGACTTTCGGGTCTATTTCGGGATTATCGGGAGTAATTTAGGTATTTTTGGGAATTTCGGGAGTTTCTTGGAATTTTTGGAAGTTTTAGGACTATTTCGGGATTCTTGGAACTAATTTCGGGACTTTGGGGATTATTTAGAAATTTTTGGAACTCAATTCGGATTTTTGGGACTGCCGGGATTATTTTGAGATTTTCGAGACTACTATGGAGCTTTTGGGACTTCCGGGATTCCTGGGACTAGTTTGGGAATTTTGGGACTTTCTGAAGTAGTTTCGAAAGTCTTAAGGTTCCTATATTAGTCCCAAATTCCCAAATGGTCCCGAAAGTCTCAAAAATCAAAAAATAGTCCCGAAAGTCCCAAAAATCCGAAATTATTCCCACAAATCCCTAAACGGCCTCAAATGTCCCAAAACACTAAAATTAGGCCCAAAAACAAAGATACTCCCGGGAGTCCACAAAAATCCTAAGGTAGTCTCGAAAATCCCGGAATTAATCCCGAGAATCCCGAAATTCCCAAAATTAGTTCCGAGACTCTCAAAATAGACCCGAAAGTCCCGAAATTAGTCAATATAAGCCCGAAATAGTCCTTACAGTCCCAAAAATCTCGAAATTACTCCCGACAAACGCGAAATAGACCCGAAAAGCTCCAAAAGTCCAAAATAAGTCCCAAAAATCTGGAAATAGTCTCGAAAGTCCCAAAAATACCTAAATTACTCCCGATAATCCGGAAATAGTTCCGATAGTCCCAAAAATCCTTAAATGGCCCCGAAAGTCCCAACAGTTCCGAAATTAGTTCCGAGAATCCCGAAATAGTCCCGAAAGTTCCAAAAATCCGAAATAAGGCCCAAAATTCCCAAAAATGGAGGAATAGTCCCAAATGTTCCAAAAATCCGAAATTAATCCAAAAATCCCGAAATACTCCTGAAAACCCCGAAACGGTCTCGAAAGTCTCAAAATTCCAAAAAAAAGTCCCAAAAAAATCGATATACTCCCGAAAGCCCAAAAGGTCCCGAATTAAGTCCCAAAAATCGCAAAATGAGTTCGGCGAATTACGAAATAGTCCCGAAAATACCAAAAATCTTGAAATAGTGCCGAAAGTCCGAAAGTTCCTAAATTAGTTCT